TGTCCTCCTCAGAAAGACATCCTCTCCAGCACCTCTCAACCCCTTGGAGGCTGGCAAACAGCTGATGGAACGGGGGCTTCACACACAGAGTAGCAGGAAAACAGGTTGTGGATTGAGAAATATTGAAGAAATACTTATTTTTTTCTTGTCCAGGAAGCATTGTCAGCTTGTTCTTAATAGATTTGTTGAAAATGAAACTGTTTTCCAAGGAAGATTTTTAAAGAGGGGCTCTGGACACCTGGCATTTACTGCTTCCAAATTGCTGAGAAGTTCAATTTTTAATTTAAAATTTAATTTTTAAAATAATTTTGAAAATAATTATTCCTTGGTGTCTTTAGAATGTGAGATAATTTTATTTTTACTTGAGATTATGTTTAAAAAAATTTAGATGAAGCAACAGAATTTATCTGAAAGGAGCTTTATTTCCCTGCAGATTTCAGCTGGTGGTTTGGGTCAAATTTTAATTCAACTTGACGTTGACACCACATCAGAATATGATATTTTTTTGCTGTTGTTCACTTCTTTGTTCCCAAAAATAGCATCAGAGGCTGGAAGGCTGTTTTCTGTTCAGTCTTCTCTGAAGCCTAGCAATCATTTCCATCACAGCCTCCCATAAATCCACAAATCCGACATTAATCTTTAAACTTTTTTTTCAGATTAGCATTTATGAACCCTCAGCAAAGAGCCCCTGGGCTTGGACAGGAACAATTCAGCCTGGAAGTTGAACACTCTGTTGAGTTGCATCTCGTGGAACCTTTTCCATCACTTTGGTTGGGCTTTTGGAGAACATCTCAATTTAATTTGGCTTGGGAATCCCTCACATGCATGAGTTCCTCAGGGGACATCTGGTTTGCTGCACATCCAGTTCCTTGGTAGTTTTGCAAGAAATCTTTTGCAAATGAATCAGAGCTTTCCTCTCCTTGGTCTGGAATCTGAGAGTAGATTTTCAGAAAAGTGAACCTCATCTTGTGCAGAGAAATCTGACTCAAACTCGTCCGCCTGGCTTTGGCTCCAAGCTGGTCAAGAATCCATTTTGTTTAATTGGGATGTCCTTGAATGCCCCAGAAACAATCCCTCTGCTAGGCAAGGTCCTGAGGGGAAATTTGATTCAACATGGATTTTGTCAGCACATCTGGTGAGGAACACATGATTTTATTGAGTTTTCCACTTGGGAGTTCAAAGTTGGCCACTGGGAGAGCTCTCTGACCCTGATGATTCCCTGATGAATCTCGTGAGGAAGGGAGACAGCCTTGGCTTGAAGCTCTGGAAGGTGGTGGGAGACACATCTCATCCCCAGGGTGGGACAGGAGCTCCATGGGAAGCGTGAGGGCTGAAAGAAGATGTGCTGGGTGTGTGGTGCTTCTCCTTGGCTGCAAAAAACGCTGATGCCCTGGGTGGAAAAGCTGATGCCGTGGGATTTGGGAAGAGGGGAGCACTTTGGCACAGCTGTAGGGTGCCATGGAGATGGTGCAGTGTGGGATGGACTGTCATTTTATATAAACCTGTGTCCCTGAGAAGAGACAGGGTAGCACTTCCCAAAATTAAGGGGGTTTCCACTCCCAAATGAAGTTGTCATTCCCTAGCCAAGAGCTGCCTCCATCCCTCTGCAGAGTGTTGACAACTGGAGCTCAGGAATGGATGAGGAAACCCAAATGAAACAACAAACTCCCTCAGCAGGGCCCAGGCAAGTTCCCTGTCAGCTGGGTCCCAACATATCCCAGATTTATCTTGGATAATCATTCCAGTGAGCAGGGGCTGGAAAGGAGTGCGGCCAAGGCCCAGCACAGAGCAGCATGCTCAGAATGGTGACACGGGCCCTGCTCTAAACCTCCTGTGTTAGGCAGGTTGGGACTGAAAATATGCTGATATATCCCACTTATGGGCACAGAAAGGAGGCATTAAAAAAATCTAATTGAAGGGGTCCCTGATTGTGGCTTCATGGACTTTAAAGGCCACTTCCAACCCAGGCCGTTCCATGATGCAGAAAGATTTGGTGCATCTCCTTCCACGTTGCCTTTTAGGCTTGGAAATTCAGTGTAAAGCTTTAAATGTGATGTGTTCAAAGCTGCTGCTCGGGGAAGGGATGGATTCAGCACGTGCTGGGCTGTGCTGCCCAGACAGGGGTGTCAGCACAGCTCCCTCCCAACATCCATGAGCTCATCCAGCTCCAGACAAATGGCACTGGGAGAAACAAGCCAAGCCAGGTCTAGGAGATGGAGTGGAAAAGCAGGAGAGGGGAGTGGGGAGGGGGATATGAAGTCATCTGCACTGACAGTGTGTCAGGTACTCACATCATTGGCTTTATGAAATGACCTTCCGGCGGGGAACCAGGCTTGTTCTCCCACTTATGGCACTAGAACAGCAGCATCTGTCCTGGAGCCTTCCAGGGGCCACATCCTTCTCTGCTGCAACCCCGAGGTTGCACCAGGCATGAATTTGCTTGTGAGATACTAAGGCAATGAAACGGACTAAAAAATTTGGTGTCCTGCTTGGAAAAAAACCCAAAATCCCAAATTTTTCTGCAGAGCAGCCATGTAACTGAGCAGTAGAGACCATCACACCTTTAACTGCTTCCCCATACACCAGTGCTCCGCATAATAAACGAGGGATTTGTTTTGTTTTGTTGTGGAGGTTGCTTTCCACAATTAAGAAAACCTGGAGATGATGTTTCCTTTCCCTTTTCTGATTTATTTCCTCAGCAGCCCAGCCACAAGATCAGAGCAGTGGCATTCATTAGGCAGGTGAAGTTGGGAGAACATCCACACAATTTAACCATTCCCAACTTGAACTCAAATAAAATTCAAGGGGAAGGGGAAGAAAAAATATTCTGTTTTTTGAAGGCATGTGGTGAGTTTCAGCAGCTGCCATTGAGCTTTCCATAGCTAGTTTCCAATTACTGTGAGGTGTCCAGAAGCAATGGAAAAGCAGCAGTGATCTCCTGTGAGAGCTGTCATTATCCATGAAGCAGTATTTCAATGGGTACAGAGGAATTACACTGGGGGAAAAAAAAACCCTGGACCAAACCAGCATCCAGTGCCACCCATCCCTTCTCCAGATCACCTGGAAGCACAGCACAGGTGGATGGAGCACCAATGGAACATCCAGCTCGTGGGGAGGGTCTGGATTTGCCCAGGGCAATAGGGATTACTCCCAGGGCTGCCTCCCTGACCCCTCAGCACCAGCTACTGTGCCGAGATGCTGCCTGAATGCTGACATTTTAACAGCACGGTCCCTTCCCGGCACATGATCCGGCGTGAGGGAATAACAGGATGTATTAATGTCATTCCAGATAACAATCTTCCTCTCAGAGAGGGCTTCTGGCACCACATCCCCCTGCGAGAGAACTCTATCCCTATCGCTCCAGCCCTAGCTCCCAGCTTGAAAGGAATCCATTTGGGCCATTAAAATGACTTGTGAAATGTGGGATAGTTAGCAAGTAATTAGGACCACATTTCGTTCCCCTGCCTGCCCGGAGCTCTGCACCGTGGTCTCCGTTCACCTTTAGTTTTGCCTTTTGCACACCAACACCACCATTTGTTTTTTGGGATCGTGCTTCCCCTCTATCCCCCTGCCTTCCTTGCTCAGCTGGTGTTTGTCACCTGCAGCATCTATTTTGTGTGGAAGAAAGAAATGAAAGGAGCTGGGTTTGAAGGGGCGCCAGAGAAGGTTTCCCCATTTTCCATCTCCTGTGCAATAGTGCCACCCACCACCTATGGGATAACAACAGCTGGAAGGATTGTTCAGGACTAATTTCTTGCAAAGTCCTGCTGATGGCTGTCAATGAGCTGGGAATTACCACAGAATTTGGAAAACACTGCCGGTTTTGGGATGCTGCTGGAGCCAGTCTGCCCTGGGCTGCATTTCCAAGCCCTCTGCTCCAGGCTGTGCTGGAAAACACAGTGAGCTGGACACCAGTGGGACTGAGATGCTACTGCCATCGTGCTTGATGGGGGGAATATCCCTCCTCATCCCTTTGGTCCTCCTGAGAGAGGGTCCTGGGCTGGAGCTCTCACCCCTCACATGTTAAAGGGAGTTTCCCCTCCCCTTTTATACTCTTGGATCTGCTCTTCCAGGGCCAGATGACCAAGGCAGCAGGAGCCAGCATTTCTGCTCTGGAGACGAGCCCATGGATGTTAGTGATGCCTCTGGAAGGTGGACATGGTGAACATGGACATACAGGGGCCTCATGGGCACTGGTGCAGGCCTTTGCTCCTGGACATTCCTGAGGGATCATACTTAGGGCTGATAAAGGCCCTACTGCTTAGTCCTGTGTTTCCTGAGGAAAGGAACATCTTTGAACTGCGTCCGTACCTTCCATAGTGAATCCTGCAACTCTAGAGCCAAGCTCATCATCCAGACCCTGCCACAGATGTCGTTCCTCCATCCCATCCTTCCTCTGGCTCTCGGGTCCACAAGAAATCCCTCAAGGAATCTTGTGGATCCCTGAGACTGGATCCACAAAAAATCCCTCAAGGCATCTGGAGGATCCTTGAGGTGGGTCCACAAGAAATCCCTGAAGGAATCTTGTGTATCCTTGAGGTGGATCCCTCAGGTCTTTGTAACTCCATCTTTCCCTCAGTGTATCAGAAACCCACATTTTCATCCCTGTCTTTCCTGTCCTTACCTCTGAAATACCTCTGTGCCTTCACACAGGATAATTTCTGGGCAGAGGACTCCAAGGGATGTGCTCCTCACCACCCTTCCATTTCTCCCTCCTGCCCCTGAAGCATCAATTCTTTATGGGCACCAGATGAGGACACCGAGTCCCAGGAGCACCTGGCTGAAGCCATGGAGCAATCAGCTGGGAATGAGTCATGCGAGCAGCCCATTCCCAGGAATCCCAGCCAGATCCCTCTGCACAGGACAGAAATAGATTGTAATTGACAGATGACAGCCTCTGGCCAAGTCCTGGTGCTTCAGAGGGAGGATGCAGGGATAAGGGCTATTATTATCACTGTTATTTTTTCATTTGGGAAGCACTCCTACCGCCTCAAGTGCTCTCGGGATTGCCGGCAAGAGCCTTCCTGTCCTTAGCACACAGGATTTCTGGGATCCAAGGGTGTGACTGGAGATGAGCTATGAGCTGTGGCATGGATGTGCTAACAACCTTTGGCAGGAAGAAGAGGACTGGACCAGCACTTCATCCTGGTCAGAGACATTCCAAGGCCAAGGAATTGCCACGCCAAGGAGCGGCTGTGAAGTGACAGTCGGACAAAGAGGCAGAAATTGAAGTGAAACATCTCACAAAGCGTAAATATTGAGAACATCTGGAGCACTGGGCCAGGTATCTGCACTTGGAGCCTCCCTGGAAAAAGGGAAAGCTGTCCCAGGCTGCAGGAATGTGCGGGGCTGGGGCGGGATGGAACAGCTCATCCTGTGACCTTCTGCTCTGTGGCCACCAAGCACGGGGAGCTGTGTGCTGCCCTCTAAATCCCTGCTCGGGAAGTTGTGTTCTCCTGCAGGAATCTCGGCTTCCCACTGCCAAAAACGTGGAAAATATGACCCCAGCACAACCTAAAAATGAACAAAGCAGGAGATATTTTTAGGAATCTCATAATCTGGGTTTTAGCCCAAGTCTTGGGTTTGGAGAGACTCTCCATGGGGAGGAGGACAGATAAGGGACCTTCCCAGCTCCTGGGGTGAACCCTGGTATCTCCTGGCTCCTCAGCAGTGGTGGTAACATGTCTAGACACACTGGGAAGCATTCAATCAGGACAAGGAGGAATGGGTCCTGCTGTTTGGAACAATGCAAGAGGAACAAAACAGCCCCATTTTATTTCTTGCAGCTGGCTTTTTAAAGGACTATTAGGTCACTGAAAGCTTTAGCAAAAAAAAAAAAAAAAAAAACCCCCCCCCCCCCCAAAAAAAAAAAAACCCAGAAAAAATTGGAAATTAAGCTGTATATATTTTTGGGAAATTGCTTTTTTTATTTTAATAGGTTTCCCTTTCAACTCTCTTCCAGTTGATTTTTTTTTTTTTCCTTCTTTGAGCCCTATGATTATTAATGGCTGTAGCACTAATGTGCTTGGAAAAAGCTCATTGGAGACCACGTTTTTTGGATTATAAAATATCTGAAAGATATTTTTCTTTTCTTCAGCCAACTATTGCCCAGCTTTCCCAAGCAGACATTATTCCATGCCACAGCAACGGATACAATCGGAACCCAACTTGGCTTTGAAGGTAAGCGGGAAAAGCCTGTTGCAATGGGGTAATTGCTTCCACCATGGAGCATTCCCAATGTCCATGTCTGGTCCTGGAGGACTCACTCCCACTCATCGGTACATTGAGGGTTTTCTGGTGTTACTAAACAACCCAAACTGGTTTTTTTTGGTTGTTTTTTTTTTTTTTAATTTGCAAGTGGAATCCAAGGGTTATGGAAAGAGCCGTGGACAGACATGGATGTGATTTGTCTGTGGTAGTGGCAGAGGTTTCCTGGCTTTGCAGGAACCCCATGAGGTTCCCAGCAGGGGCAGAGGGGTCAGCCAGACTCTCCTGGAGGAACGCGGGGGTGGTTCCACACCATCAAGCTCCAACAAGAGAAGCCACAACCAACACAGACTCAAACCACTGGGGCAGCGATGGAGTAGTTCATGAACACCCAAATTAGACATGCTGTTGGAACCCTGGTTACTGAGAGTTTTGGACTTGCTGTGCTGCCAGGCATGGACCCCCAAGAGAACTCTGTATTTGACCTGAGCCTGTGGAGAAGGCTTCCAAAATGGAATGACAGAACTGGGAATGTGGGTGTGGAGTTTGAATAGAAGTGTGTAATATGACGGGGTGGGAAGCTCAGAGTTTAAGGGTTTAGAATATAGTAATACATATAAAACAAGATGGAGGTTTTGGGGTGGAGTCCTTCTTCTTCACCGTCTTCTCCATGGCTTTGGGTGGTTTTGTATAATTGCATAAAGAAGTCCACATTGTGGGTACGGGTGGTTGATTATTGGGTTAAAAGTAAAAATAATTGAGGTGTCACTTCTTAATTGGACAGTTGATCCTTAAAAGACCTTGTAGAGAGAGAGACAGGGCTCCATTTTTAGTTTGTTGGAGTGAAGTGCTGCAGAACTCACAGCTTGTGAGACTTTAACCAAGATAGAACTAAGAAACATCTGAGTCCAAACAAGAAATTCCATCTCACACATTCAATCTTGACCCTGGCAAAAAGAAGTTAAGACCCCACAGCATCCCTCTGCTTCCCTGGGTTATATTCCAGCCTGGCAGTGCCTGCCTGGAATATCCAGGTCCATTGCTCAGTGGAGGTGTTCCCTGTGCTTCCAAACCAGGAGATTCACACCTGAGCACACTACAGGTCAATGTTATCCAACAGCACCACCTTAAATTTCATCAAAGGAAACTCAAACCACCCCAATTCGCACCCATGCTGGGACACCTTCGGTGTTAACAGTGATCCAGAGGCAGATCCCCATTGTTACAGCTGTCAAGAGGAGATGCCTGGGAAAAGAGCTCAATAAACAGAGAGAGAATGAACAAAGGCAGCTGTTTCCTGGCAAAGCCCGTGGTTTTTAGCAAGCTTCCACCTCAGAGCCAAACCCTGGGAAGTCGTGGATGAGCTGTGACCTCTGCCCGTGCCTACCCAAGTGGTTACTCCTGTGTCACTGTGCCAGCCTGGTGACACTGGAAGAGGGGATGTGGATCTCCCAGTCTCAACAGCTGTGGCCAGAGTGTGCCTCTCAGGGGCCTCCTGGCCCTTCAGGGTGTGGCAATCAGCACCTGCAGGTGCCCAAGGGTCTACTGGGGAGAGTGTCCCAGGAAATGCTTTCAAGGCCCTACTCAAGCAAAGGGAACCAGGAGTTCCCCTGTTTGCTCTCCAGCTCTGCCATTTGCAGTTTATCATGGCCCTTTAACTTGACAGAGAGAGAATTCCACAGGGATTTTGATGCAAAACAGTGAAATCAAAGTCTTCTTCCCAAAGAAAAAGCAGAATTTTCAGCTTTGTAATAGGACTCCTCCTGTTTAAAATGCTGAAAACATGGTGGATGAGCAGAAGCAGCAATATCAGAGCATTTGGAGTGCTCTTCTCTTCCACAAATTTATTTAGCACCCATCAGTTTCCTCTTGGAAGGAGATTGGAGAAGTCTGGGAGTCTTTTGCAAGGAGAGGAAGGGGACAGAGCAGCAGTGGCTGGTGATTCCTTGACCTTTCTGATGATCCTTTCTCACAATGGGCACGTCCAAAGACAAGGTAATCCTGCCCAGCTCCACACAGACATGAAATCCATGGCACTGAAACCCATGGAGACCAGGGATAAAACCCGAATCCCAAATCCCAAATCCCAAACTCCAAATCCCAAATCCCAAACCCCAAATCCCAAATTCTAAATCCCAAATCCCAAACCCCAAATCCAAAATCCAAAATCCAGAACCCCAGGAATAAGAACCCCAGGAATAAATGCAGGTTCATCTCCCAGGAGTTTCCCATAATGACTCTTTAACCAATATTTCCCGTCTTTCTCCCATTTTCTCGTGACCCTGCAAAGTTCAGCCCTCCACTAAAAATAACCTCTGTTTTTTATTGCTGGGAAAGGATCCCAGCCTTCACAGAAACAGGGTTTCTAATCTTCAGAGAGGCAGATGCTGGAATACCCCAAAAGCTCAGAAACTGGCAGGCAAAATTAATGAGACTTTTCTACTTATTGTTAAAAAAAAAAAAAAAGTCTCCTGTGAGTTTATAGCAGCTGCAGATCCAGAGGCCTTTTTCTCCAAATAAATTGTACTTTCCATGTTTTTGCTTTGGCTGTGCTGCGGTATGAACTTCAGGAACAGGAATTGATGAGATCTTTAGCAGATATATCCAAAAGAAGTGGGCAGAGACCTCAGCCCTGCTCTGGGTGCTCTGGTTTGGGTTGTTTAAAACTCCCAAATCTCCTCAGTTCCATGTTAAAGCAAAGGGATGAGCTGTGGCTTCTTCCAGAGCTGCTCACCATGAGCTCCACAGCCTGCAGACATCACCAGGAGAGGGCAATTAGCATCCTGCTGCCCAGGGGAGAAGTGGAAGCCATCCAGGTCTTGGCAGCCAATTTCTGGGATTTCTGATAGGATCTCTGGCATGGCACACCAGAAGGCACACCTTCTGAGGCACGCCTAGCCAGACCATCCCTGGAGAGGCTCAGAACAAAGCAGCTCTTTTCCAAACTTGGGGATTTGAGGACACCTTTCATCCATCGAGTTCTCCTCTTCCTCCAAAGCTTGGTGTGTTTTATCAGAGGGGACAAAAAAAGGAAAACAACCAAATTCTGTCTGCAGAGCAGGGACATGGCACAAGAGCTTGGAGTTATCCTTGGTTTTACTGGGAAATTCCATGAGGGAAATCCCAGCTCTTTCCCAGCTATTGAGAACGGCTGGTGGTGATTGCTGCATAGAGCATGAGGCCAGACAGGCTGGGGGGTCAGAGGTCTTCAAAAGTGTTTCCTTGGACTTCTGCTTCCAAGACCAGCAGGACTGGAGTAACTCCAGCCTTTGTAAGAACATTTTGGGAATAGTCTTTTCCCTCGGATGTTTAAGGGAGGAAGAGAAGGAAAAACTAACAAAAAGGATCAGTCCAGTACCATGTGAGGAGCATGGGGCAAAGCTGAGGGCAGAGCTGGGTCTTGCCATATCTCATCCATTCCAGATATTTAACTGCCTGCTCCAGCTGTCACTTGGAGCAAAACTCTGCTCCCTGTAGCTTTCTTCCTTCCTTCCTTCCTTCCTTCCTTCCTTCCTTCCTTCCTTCCTTCCTTCCTTCCTTCCTTCCTTCCTTCCTTCCTTCCTTCCTTCCTTCCTT